AAGAGTTGGTAGGATTATACTGGAACTCAATGCAACACTAGTTAGGTTACAGCAACATTGCTATGTGCAGTTCTGGTCACACTACAGGAAAGGTGTGGATACACTAGAGTGTGTGCAGAGAAGAGATTTACAAAGATGCTGCCTGCCATGGAGATTTTAATTATGATGTAGCTGGTTGGCTCGCCGAGCTGGTTCGTTGTTTCGCAAGAAGGGTCTAGGCCCAAAAGGTCAGCTTTCCTGCTCTTCTGATGCTGCTTGGCCTGCTGTGTTCATCCAGCTCTACACCTTGTTATCTCAGCAATCATAACAGCTTGCTTCCTAAAACAGATCCAAATGTGGATCCAACTTCTCACTGTCTTGTATCCCATGAGTTTTTGCTTTAGAGACCACGCTGTTTATTAGCCAAAATTCTTGTAAAAATCTGTGTCAACTCCGTCATGTCTTTTATCAAGTCTTCTCATTACCTCAAAATATTTAATCTTGTTGGTCAAACGCTGACTTTAACAAATCCCTGTTGCCAGTCCTTAATTAATCCATGTCTTTTGAAATGAGGATTTATCCTGTCCCCCAGAATTTTCCCCAGTAATTTCCTCACAGTCGAGGTGAGGCTGGATGTAATTATTCAGTTTATCCTTTTCTCTCTTGTTAAACAATGATGCAATGTTAACTGTCCTCCACTTCTCTGACACCATGCCTATTCACCAAACAGGATCACAAAATGATGATAACAGTCTCCATTATTTCTTCTCTTTCATCTCTTAGCAACCCAGAATACATTTCATCTGAGTCAGGGTTTGGAATTCAGTGGGTGAGTGGCGAACACTAGAATAGGGAATTCTCTGGGACATTAGTTCATGGAACTTGGTGGTGGCACAAGGGAGAGGGAAACAAAGAGAAAGAGAAGGGAGACAATTAGACAAGGAGAAATATAGGAAATATGCGGCAGTCAAAGAGAGAGAGAGAGGGATAGAAAGCAAGGGGGATAGAGAAACAGAGCACTCAGATTTCTCTTCAGGCTTCATCACAACTTATGACGCTGACTCCAGAGCAATGTAACCTCATCAAGAGAGGTGTCACCAAGAGCAATGCCACTGGGAGGTAGACTCATTATATCAGTGCTGACATCAGTGTGGTAACACTCATCCTTCAACACTGAAGATTGTGGGTTGTAGAGTCTTGATTCCAGCCTCACATTCCACTTGGGGAGTGCTGCACCGCTGGAGGTAAAGTGAAGTCTACTTTCTCCCTTAGCTGGATGTCAACAATCCCATGCACTATTCAGGGGACAGTAAGGGATTCTACACCAACGGTCCTTCCAACTTCTGTTTGCTGGTTTGCTGCAACATATGGTGACATTAAGACTGGCACAGTATCCTAAATTTTACTTCATTCATCTGACGTGGGCTTCATTGGCAAAGTTAGCATTTATTGCCCATCTCTAGATGGTTTTGAGAAGGTAATGGCAAGCTTCTTAAACTTGTGCAGTTCTTGCGGTATAGGTGGACCCACAAACCATCTGGAGGGAATTGCAGAATTTTGACCCATTGACACTGAAGGAACAGGGATAGATTTCCAAGTCAGGATGGTGAGTGGCTTTAGAGGGAAACCTGCAGGTGATGGTGCTCCCATGTATCTAGTGCTCTTACCCTTCTGGATGGAAATGGTCATGAGTTTGGAAGGAGCTTTGGTGGGTTGTTGCAGTGCATCTTGTCGATGATACACATCCTGCACAACTGTGCATCAGTGGTGAAGGGTGCTTGTGGATGTGGTGCCAATCAAGCGGGCTGCTTTGTCTGAGATGATATTGAGCTTCTCAAGTGTTGTTGGAGCTGCATCCATCCAGGCAGGTGATATATTCTATCACACTCCTGAGTGTGAGAATATTCTATCACACTCCTGACTGTGGACAAGCTTTGGGGAGTCAAGAAGTGAGTTACTCGCTGCAATATTCCTAACATCTGACCTGCTCTTGTAACCATTGTATTTATATGGCCAGTCCAGTTCAGTTTCTGGTCAATGGTAATCCAAGGATGTTGATAGTGAGGATACAGTGATAGTGGTGCCATTCAATGTTAAGGGAATATGGTTAGATTCACCCCTGTTGGCGATGGTCATTGCCTGGCACCTGTGTGGTGTGAACGTTACTTGTCACTTAACAGCCCAAGCCGTGAGTGTTGTCTGGGTCTTGCTACTTTTGGACATGGATGTTTTCAGTGTCTGAGGGGTCACAAATGGTGCTGAACATTGTGCAATCATCAGCGAACATCCCCCTTCCAACCTTATGATGGAGGGAAGGATATTGATGAAGCAGCTGAAGATGGTGGGGCCGAGGACACTACCCTGAAGAACTCCTGCAGAAATGTCCTGGAACTGAGATAACTGACTTCCAACAACCACAACCATCTTACTTTCTATCAGGTATGACTCCAACCAGCAGGAGATGGCTGGACCAAGTAACCTTAAAAGATCCAAATTTGTACCCATCCTGTTTGTTCCCTATGGAGCACATTCCTGGTTGCTGCAAAACCAGACTCCATGCATCTTAGAGACAGCCACTCCACAGGATCTTGGCCATTTATCTCATATTTTCTGGGACCTTGCTGTGCAAATTAGCCCCGTGTTTCCCTATATACAACATTATTTTCAAAACTACTTGATTAACAAGACAGTGCTTCAGGATGTCCTGGCACAAGATATTAGGAAAATGTAAGATCTTTCTTTATCACTGAAATTGAGTCTGGCGTTAGTGTTGGGCATTACCTGGAAAGTCAGCAGAAGGGTAAGGCTCCTTCACCTCATTGACATTAGCTTCAAACTCATCCACTTTCAGCTGCAAATGGTAAATAGATCCAGTGAGTAATTCAGCAGGGTTCATACAGACAGATAGCCAGTTCAGAGTATGCCCAATCCCAGTGGACACATACACAGTGGAATTCTCAATCCTAGGATATATCTACACCAATTAACACATATGCCACACTCCAGGGTCCAAGCCCAGTGTAAAATCCCCATTTAACATTGTCTTGTTCAAACCAGCAATTCAAGTCCAGACCCGAAGTCAGTCCAGGTCCCCAGTGACTCGGGAAACAAGGCGAACCTGGCTAGACAGCTGGCACACATCAACCCCTCCCTGCACCTATTACCTTCCAACACCTACTTTGTCAAGCCCCTTCCCCATTCAATCAAAACCTCTCCTTGGCAGCACGCTCCATCAAAACCCCTAACCCACTCTGTCAAACCCCTCCCCAACTCTGTCAAACCCGTCCCCCACTTCATCAAACCCCTCCCCACCTCCATCAAACTCTCTCCCCATTACTCCGCCAAACTCCCACTCCATCAAACATCTCCATCCTCCAACACCTCCTCCATCAAACCCCTTCCTTCCCCTCCTACACCCAAACTGTCAAACCCTTCCCGCACATCATCAAACCGCTCCCCCACTCCATCAATCCTCGCCTGCCCCCTCCAACACCCAAACTGTCAAACACCTCCTGCACTTCATGAAATCCCTCCCCCAGGCCCATCAAATCACTGTCAAAATCTTCCTCTCTCCATCAAACATATCACCCATGCCCCAACACTACTTTATCAAAACCCTCCCCATCTCCAAAATAATCCCTCCCCCACCCATCAACACCCACTCTGTCAAACCCCTCCTCCACTCCATTAAAACCCCATCCCCATAAAAGATTGTGATCGGTTTTTCAGAAATCTGGAACTGGTGACATGAATCTCTTGTTTATCCCATGGTTTTTTTTTGATATTGGGCAGGGAAGGAGTTAATGTTTGAACAAACCATCTTACACAAGTTGAAATGTCATTGGACACAATTTCAGCCTCCCCTGCTGGGGTGGGGGCTGGTAGGCTGCTGAGGTGTAGGGTAAATACGAATGGTCATGACTTATCCTTATCAATGTACCATCTAAACCTTTTTGAGAGTGTACAGGCATGTTCGCTGGATTACATGTAACTTCTGCATTTTCTAGGCTGCCTGTAATGCGCTGTTCCTGAACAAGCACATGCACAGCTCCAGGAACACTGATCATCATTTCCTCCCATGCATCCTCCTAAAGCAAGGCCAGTTTCCCGGGCTGCTTAATTCCACACCCGGGCTGTGTTTCCCCCACTAGATTTATAGAATGCCAGACCTGGGCTGCATTTCTTCACCAGAGTTATACAATCAAGGCCTGACCTGTGTTTCCCCTACTAGAATTATACAGTGCCAGTCTGTAGTGCTGTGGTTCTCAGTGATTAAGTCAATGTTTCACATGCCCCATAAATTCTCCCATGTGCAGTAGCAGTCAGCACTACTGGGTCTGTGTTTGCTGATAGGACCCAGAGAAGCCTAGCTGAGTTAACACTGATACACAGCAATGCTGAGATGGCAGAGACAGGTTTAACATTGACCTTGGCAGTGGTGGGAATACCCTCGGCCTTAAGCTTTGCCAGTTCAAGTTTCTTCAACAGTAGTTTCTCTTCCTCTGATCGGCCCGGGTTGGCAGCCCTGAATAATGAAAGCAGAGTGCAGAATTAAAGCTCAGTTTGGTTCTCAGTGATCGGGCCTGAGGCCTGGGCTCTGATTCTCGGTGACCGAGCCTGAGGCCTGGGCTCTGATTCTCGGTGACCAAGCCTGAGGCCTCGGCCATGATTCTCAGTAACCGACCCTGAGGCCTGGGCCACGATTCTCAGTGATTGAGCCTGAGGCCTGGGCCATGCTTCTCAAGGAGTCCCACGTTCAAAATTTAGCTCACTTGCCCTAAATAAATATCCAATTGCAGCAATGAACTTGATGCTGTGTTCTCACAGCGTGACGATGGCAATGGAAATTTCCTCACACCTCCCACTACCTGCTCCTATCTCCAACTCACCTCTCCAACTTCCTTCTCTTCTTCTCCTCTGCTGCTTCTTTCTGAGCTGATGTCAGACTTTCTGCCTCTGCCAGATTGTCAACAGCGATGGCCAAGAAAACATTTAACAGAATATCTGGAGAAATCGAGCTTAGGATCAAAATATATTCCAAAAGAAAAACCACAATGCATTGACAACTCGGCTGAGTGTCCACCAAATATCAAACCATCTTACCATTCCTTAACGGAGTGACCACAAATAGGCCTCAAGCCTCCTCCTTCAGAGACAGCTGGAGCTGGCATTACTCTAGCCACTAAACACTGGTCCTGACCCATTCACCAGTCTCCACGCCCCCACTAAGCTCATCCCCTAACCCCACTCCACGCACCCACCCTCAGTTTAACTGGAAGAGTATTCGCACTGAAGGATACAGTTTCCACAAACAAACAGGATGATGAAGTAAATACAGACGAGCACACCAGGGAAGGAAGGACCTCCATAGGCCATGATGCCATCATTCATGACAGAATTCCAGTCCTCGCCAGTCAATATCTGCAGCAAACACAGTGGGTTACAGCGTGTCCTCCAGCAGACAGACAATCCACGGTTTTTATTTTGGCGGGGGTGTGGGGGTATGCGGTAATCTCCTTATCAGCCATCACAGCCCTCAATAAGCAACATCGTGGGATCCTTCCCTTACCAGTACAGCTTTCCTGTGATACTATCCAAACATGGGCAAACCACAGAAAGGAGAAGACCAGACTCTTCAGTTATATCAGACTCTGTTTCTCTCTCCACAGATGCTGCCAGTCCTGCTGAGTTTCTCCATTACTTTGTTTCAAATTTATATTGTATATTTCAAAAAGCCTCATAATGTTTCAACCTGAAATTACTGGAAATTCACAGCCACCTCATCAGCTTAAAAAGCAGAAAAGGCAGCCGAAATGATATTTGCAAATTTGTCCTGTCAGGATTCCCACAGGAACTGATGAGATTTGTGAATATTTAGGAGTGACCAGACCACATCTCAGGAAGGAGGTACACTTTGGTATTTGAAGGGGATCCCCAGCGTCATCCAAGTTTCCATTCTCAAGAAAGGATATACAAAGCCAACTTGTATTCCTTAAGTTTAAGATGAATGTTTAATCATGTTTTACATGACAGATGGGTCTGATAGATACAAATAAACTATTGGCTCTGGTTGAATCAACAGCAAGACAACACAATATTCCAGTCAGGAGCTAAGCCTTTGGGAAAAAACCAGACTTAATTCTACTGTACACAGATAGGGTGACTGTGCTGTTCATAAACTCTAACTATTCCTCTCTCCCAGGACTTACTTTGATAAAAAAAAATTCACAGGATTGTCTGTGGTGATAGAGTGCGACTCGCAGAGAGTAAAGTGTAGCAGTTTGGTAAGTGGGGAAATTTAAGAATTAATCACTTGCCTTAGAATCTAGTACTAATTATTGTTAGTTCTTTGATAACATTAACTGTTTGGAACATAGATACATAAGAAAAGGAGGAGGCCATTCAGCTTCTCGAGCCTGTTCCTGGCCATTCAATGATATCATGGTTGATCTGTAGCCTAATTCCATATACCTGCATTTGGCCCATATCTCTTAATATCTTTGCTTAACAGAAGTTACCTCAGGGTCATACAGAAATAGGGCCTTCAGCCCACCATGTCCTTGCTGACCAACAAGCACCAAACTAACTAATCCCATTCATCTGCACTTGTTCCACAGCCTCCTGTGCCCAGGCATTTTCTTCAGTACTCCTGAAGGATCAACTATTCATTGTGTATATCCTTCCCTGTGTAGACCTCCCAAAATACATCACCTCACACTCATTCGGTTTAAATTCCATCTATCTCAGATTGAACTGATCCAGCTTCTACTGCTGTTTGTGGAAGAGAGTTCCAAACATCTACTACCCTTTGTGTGTAGAATGCTTTCTAACATCTCTCTGAATGGTCTGGCCCTAATTCTCAGACTATACCCCTAGACTTAGAATCTCCAATTAGTGGAAATAGTTTATCTTTATCGACCCTGACTACCAGACTGTCAAAGAGAAACAGGCAGATGGAGCAGGAGTCCCCTGGTGTCCCGCACACAAATCAGTTTTCTGTTTTGTAAGGTGATGATGGCATTGGCTCGAAAGAATGCAGACAGAGCCAAGCTTCTGACTCCACAAGCAGCTTGACTGTACATGAGTGGAAGAAGAAGGGAAAGCAAATTGTGATAGGAGTTTCATTAGAGGAACAGACAGGCATTTCTACAGCAACAGACATGACTCTAGGATGATGTGTTACCTCCCTGGTGCCAGGGTCAGTGATGTCACTGAGCAGCTAGATGACATCCTGAAAGGACAGGGAGATAAGACTAAAGGTGTGGAGTACACTGGTACAAATGACATAGGTAGAATGAGGGATGAAGTCTTGCACCAAGAGTCAGGGAACTAGACAGTAGGTTAAAGGTGACAGAGGTGGGGGAGCATTTTAATGATAGCAACCACAGCACCACACGTTTTATGTTTGTTATGGAAAAGCAGAAAGATGGTCTGCAAAGAGTCCTTTTGAATTGCAGAAAAGCAGATTTTGTTCAAATAAGACAGGATCTGACCAAAGTAAACGGATAACAACTACTTCTGGGTAAATCTACAGCGAAACTGAAGGGGTCGCATTCAAAATGAAATTGAATACATGCCCTTTAGAGTGTTAATGCAGGAGCAACAAGCCCGAATAACCCTAAAAATATTCAGGATAAAAGTGCGGATATGATGGAAAAGAGAGGCTTTTAACAGGTGCAAGGGGAGCAAATAAATAGAGCCCTAGTGGGGGCATTGACAGTGCATAATTGAATTTAAGAAAACAATTAGGTAAGATTAGGGATGATCCTAAGATACTCTGAAAGTACATTAAGGGAAAGAAAATAACCAGAGAAACAATAAGGCCCATTAGGGACCAAGAGGACAATCTATGTGTGAAGCTGGATGACATTGGTAGGGTGTTAAATGAGTACTTCAGATCTGTCTTCACTGGGGAAAAGGAAGATATAGGTTCTTTGAGAAAAGTGATTGTGAGGTTCTTGAAAAGATTGATAAAGAGAGTATTAGAAGTTCTGGTGGGTTTATAAGCTCTCGTCCCAGATGAGTTGTATCACAGGCTGCTCTAGGTGACAAGGAAGGAAATTACAAGGACCCCAACCCAAATTTTTAATTCCTCTCTGGCCATGGAGGAGATACCAGAGGTCAGCTAATGTCATTTTCTGATGAAGGGTCTAGGCCCGAAATGTCAGCCTTTCTGTTCCTATGATGCTGCTTAGCCTGCTGTGTTCATCCAGCTCTGCACCTTGTTGTCTCGGATTCTCCAGCATCTGCAGTTCCTACTATCTCTGTCATTCCACTTTTCAAGAAGGGCGATAGAAATAGATCAGGGAACGACAAATCATTGAGTCCCACATCATAGGATAGATCATAGAATCCCTACAGTGTGGTAGCAGCCTATGTGGCTCATCAAGTCCACACCGACCCTCTTAAAACCATCCCACCCAGACGCTGCTGCGTTTCCCATGGCTAATCCACCTAGCCTGCACAACCCTGGATGCTACGAGGCAATCAGTGGTAGGGAAACTATTGGAGAAAATTCTGAAAGAAAGAATTAATCCCTATTTAGAGAGGCAAGGTTTGATCGGGGTAGCCATGCTTAACAAATTTGATTGCATTTTTTTGAGGAAGTGATCAGGTGGTTAGACGAGGAGAGTGCAGTCGATGTACTTTATATAGATTTCAGCAAAGCCTTTGGCTAGGTTCCGCATGAGAGACTGTAAAGAAGGTAAAAGTACATGGGATTCAGGGTGATTTGGCAAGTTCGTTCGAAAATTGGCTCTGTGGTTGGAAATACAGAGTGGTGATAGAAGTCTGTTTATGTGACTGCAGGCTGGTGCGCACTACTAGAGGGATCAGTGCTGGGTTCTTTATTGTTCATGATACATATATAAACAGTACAGAATAAAATTTGGGGGTGATAGGTAAGTTTACAGATGACACAAAGTTTGGCCAAGTGGTTGACAGTGAGAAAGAAGGACATGGGTTATCAGAGGATATAAATGGATTGGTCTGATGGGTAGATCAGTGGCAGATGGAATTTAATTCTAAATCTGAGGTGATGCACTTTGGAAGAAAGAACAAGACAAGGGAGTACACAATGAATGGCAGGACACTAGGAAGCTCTGAGGAACAAGTATCATTGTATTTATCAAAGCTGAGTTAGGCATATTTTGATCAACAAGTGGTCAAAGGTTATGTGGTACAGGCAGGCAGTGGAATTAAGGCCACAGTCAGAGCAACCGTGACTCAATGAGCCAAATACTCCTGCTCAAAATTCATATGATCTATCCTGGGGTCAGTAAACCCCACCCACTACAGCCCAGGGCAGGGAATTTGCACTTCAATCAATCCCAGTGAGGGAAGGTGGTCACTGGTCCCATGTAGAAAGACAAGACAACATCTTGTTCAGAGGAAATATAAACAATTCCAGGAAGTTTAAAGGAAAATCAAGTCTTATCCCAAAAGCACCCTTCACGACCTCAAACTCCTGAAGTGTTTTACAACATGAACTAGGAGGCAAATACTGCCACCTGATGCCAAAATCAAGATACACAAACCGCAAAAACTCAATAACAAGGTAATAATCTAATAAATGTAAATTTTTACTAGCTCGTGTGAAAATTCATCAAACTGAGGGCTTCCGGCATTGCCTTTTTTTATTTTAATCTAGTCTATTTATTCTATTGGCTGAGGGATCAATATTTTAGTTTTAGGATCTTTTGCATCCATCTAAAGAAACAATCAGATCTTTGTTTTGGTGTCCCATCAGATACACAACAGCTTGGACAGGGCAGCACATCCTGAGGACTGGATATAGAAACATGGAAAGTAAAACAGAACTCAGCCACTCTGCCCTTTGAGCTTTGCAATTTAATCTAATTATAGCTGACCACACAACTCAGTACCATGTTTCTGCTATCACCCCTTTTATCCATTTAGCCCTGAGAACTATATCAAATTCCTTCTTGAAAACATTCAATGTTTTGGCCTCTGCAGGGAATTCTAATAGATTACCACTCTCTGGATGAAGAAAGTTATACTTGTCTCAGTCCCCAGTGGTCATTTCCCTAGACTGTGACCTCTGGTTCTGGACTCCCAAGGTGTCAGAAACACTTACCCTATCTGGTCACGTTAAAATTTGATAGGTTTCTATGAGTTCACCTCTCACTCTCCTAACTCCAGTAAATATAATGCTAAAAGATCCAGTCTCTCTTCATAGGTCAGTCCTGCCACCCAAAGAATGAGTCTGGTAAACCTTTGTTGAATTCTCTCCATAGCCAAAACATCCCTCCTCAGATAAGGAGACCAAAACTGCATACAATATTTCAGGTGTAGTCTCACCAAGACCCTGTACAAATGCAGCAAGGTATCCCTGCTCTGTACTTGAATACTCTTGCTCTGAAGGCCAACATACCATTTACTTTCTTCACTGCCTGCTGCACCTGCATGCTTGCTTCCAGCAACAGGTACACTAGGACATCCACGTCTCATTGCACCTCCCTCTTCCCCAAATTATTGCCATTCAGATAATAATGCATCTTCCTGTTTTTGCTACCAAAGTGGATAACCTCACATTTATCCATATTATACTCTATCTGCTGCGCATTCGTCCATTCACTCAACTTATCCAGATTACACTGAAGCATCTCTACATCCCATCACAGTGCACCCTCCCACCTAGCTTTGTGGCATCTGCAAGCTTCCTGAAATTGTATTTGGTTCCCTACATGAACAATAATATATAATGTGAATGGCTGAGGTCCAAGCACTGATCCCTGTGGTACCCATTGGCTGCCACTCAGAAAGTGATCAGTTTACATCAGACTGGATTCAGTCTCAACTCTCAGGAGTGGGGCTTGAATTCCTGATCATCTGCTCAAATGACCAGCCAAATACACAATTACGCTCAGCATGACAGTGGGATTCATGCAACCCAATACTCACCTGGAACACACTCAGCAATGCCTGTGGGAAGTTATCAAATGTGCTCCTTCGCACAACCATGTCATCAAAATTATACTTTCCACCAAACAGCTGCATCCCCAGCAACGAGAAGATGATGATGAAAAGGAAGAGGAGGAGGAGTAAGGATGCAATGGAACGGACTGAGTTCAACAGGGAGGCGACCAGGTTGCTCAGGGAAGTCCAATACCTTAGCAAGAGCAAAGTGAGACAATGAGAACATAAAAACAGGAGGGATAGTCCCAACTAAGTATTTGAACAATGACTGCTCTAAACACTGAGGGAAAAGGAGCTCATGCAGGTGAACCTTGTCTATTGACTGGCATAAGGAACACAGCAAATCAGCATAAAGCTACAGCAAGCAATTAAAATAAATGGAATAAAAACCAAAAGAACTGCGGACGCTGTAAATCAGGAACAAAAACAAATTTGCTGGAAAAGCTCAGCAGGTCTGGCAGCATCTGTGAAGGAGAAAACAGAGTTAACGTTTCCGGTCCGGTGACCCTTCCTCAATAAATGGAATGTTGGTCTTTACTGCAAAGGGATTAAAATATAAATCACCATAATTGTGCAGGGATTTAGAGACCAAATCTGGAATACCGTGTGCAGTGTCAGTCTCCATATCTAAGGAAATATGTACAATCACATAAAAATATACAGCGTACAACACACCATCAACACAAATGTGGAACAGATTGGCAACAAGTGTTCTGCTTCCAGAAGCTGCTCTTGACAGGTTTTGTCAGCTTGTTGCATCGTGTTTCAGTTTAGTCTAGATGGACCATTTAAAGTAAGTTTGTGGTGGCAATGCCAACAAATGAATAAGGAATATACAAGGAACTAATGTGTGAAGCCAGTAAATTACAGCACCAGAAACAAAGGAGATTATTAAGCCCATCATGCCCATGCAGACTCTCTACAAGACAGCAACTCAGCTTGTCCCACTCCTCTGCCTGTTCTGTGTTGACCTATACTTATTTCGTCTTCAGCTGCTTATCGAATAGGTCTGTGTAGGATGAAGAAAAATTATGGGAAACTCTGCCACACCCCACGTCCAATATCAGACCAGCATCCAAACGTGAAAGCAGCAGCATTATTCTGGATGTTCCAACTTGCAGTATGACCAGTGACAGAGTGATATCACCAACTATAAGGTGAAGCAGTAATGACAAGTAATGAACCTGGACCATCTAAAACACAACCATAAACATCCGTGTAGAATGGGAAATGAATTTCTGTTCACCACCGTAAAAGGTAAGAGCATTTGCCTTATACATCACTCAAGTTTACTGATAAGTAAAAAGGAATTTGGAATGACACCTCATAAGTTGTACAGTAAATTCAAGGATAGTTTTCTCTTGAACTGCAAGAAAACTGATGAATGTTGAAGGTTGTTTTGAAAGCTCAATGGTCATTTTGTTCAAAGCCAGCAAAAAAAGCTCATGCCTGCACTGAAGCATCATTTTGTGTTTGCCATCTTTTAATAAAACATAAGAAATTATTCACAGATAGCGAAGTAATTAAAGAAGAAATGACTCTGGTCGTTGACTCTTTATTAAAAGCCTTTAAGAAGAAAGAAAAAATAATAATGGCAACCCAGAACGTGTCACTTAATGCTTCCACAGTAGCCAAACGAGAGGAATTCTTGGCTGAAGATGCCTTTCAGCAACTACAGCAGGACCTGAAGGACTCTGAATGTTTCTCACTGCACTTTGATGAATTCATTGACATACCCAACACAGCCCAGCTGATTGTTTCTGTTTGCAAGGTTTTTATAGACATACAATTAGAAGATCTTCTCGCCTTTTTGCCCGTTAAACACTGAACAAAGGGTGAGGACATCTACAACAAATTCAAAAGGTACATCCTTGAGAAAACATTCCAATCAAGAAACTGTTTCCATCAGAAGTGATGGTGCACCAGTCATGCTTGGTGCAAATGTGAGCTTTGTTGTATTTTGCAGAACTGGTCCTGATTTTCCCTCTTTTGTCAGTTAACAATGTATAATCTATCAGTAAGCATTAGTGAGTAAAGCTTCGGACTTTTCTCCTGTACTGAAAGTTGCTGTGAAGGCTTCCAGCAAGAGGCTTTCAGCACTGCTTGTTTAAATCCTTACTTGGCGAACTCGATCCTGCCTTTGGTGAACTAATCCTCATGCTGATGTTAGGTGGTTAAGTTGAGGGAAGATCCTACAAAGATTTTTAGTACTGATGCCTGCCAGAAATCGTCGCGTTTCTTAAATCAAGGAATGAAATGCACAGTAAGCTGTAAGACAATGCACGGTCGCTTTATTTCAGGTTCCATTCAGACAGTTAAAACCGAATGAGCTGAACTACATGGAAAGAACAGAGACTTCACTTGTTTGATCAGTACTCTGTGATGGTTGCCTTAACCCAGTATAGATATTATTGCCGTAGTGAAAGACCATCACTGCCCCCCGCAACCCACACAGTCACCTCCTCCTGCTCCCAGAACAGCTTTATGCTGCTCCTACCCATCCACAATAATGTTATAGAGCTGTAGAGTCATATGGCACGGAAATAGGCTCTTAGGTCCAACACATCCATACCGACCAGGCTTCACAAACTAAACTAATCCCATTTGCCTGCACTTGGCCCATATCCCTCTAAACCTTCCCTATTCATGTACCTGTCCAAATGTCTTTTAAATATTGTAACTGTACCTGCATCTACCACTTCCTCTGGCAGTTCATTCCACATACAAACCACCCCAAGTGAAAACGTTTGCCCCTCAGGTCCCTCTTAAATCTTTCTCCTCTCACTTTAAAATTATGCCCTCTAGTTTTGAACTCCACTACCCCAGGGAAAAGACCTTTGTTATCCACTTAACTATGACCCTCATGATTTTATAAACCTCTGTAGGTCACCCCTCAACCTCCTATGCTCCAGGGGAAAAAGTCACAGCCTATATATATATTATGGGTCGGTGCAGATTCTTTGGGCCAAAAGGTCTCTTTCTGCACTATGATTCTATTCGATGATTCTACCCAGCCTCTCATTATAACTCAAACCCTCCAGTCCATCATTGTAAATCTTTACTGCACTCTTTCCAATTTAATGATATTCTTCCAATAGCAGGGCGACCAGAACTGTACACAGCACTTCGTCTTTGTGCTGAATGTCAGGAGATGGGAGAGGTATTAAATGAATATTTCATGCCAGTTTTTACTGTTGAGAAAGAAACAGAGGCCAGAGAACTCAAGGAAATAAATATTGATGTTCTGAAAACAGCTCACACTGCAAAGAGGAAGTGCTGGAGGTCTTAGAAAACACAAAGATAGATAAATCTCCAGGATCTGATCAAGTTGTGGGAAGTTACAGAGGAAATTGCAGGGCCCCTATTAGAATTATCTGTGGCATCTATAAACACAGTTGAAGTATTGGAGGACTGGAGAGTGGCTAATGTTATGCCATTGTTTAAGAAAGGCTGTAAGCAGAAGCCTGGAAACTATAGACCTGTGAGTCTGACATCTGTGTCAGACACGTCGTCCACGAGTTGTTGGAGGTGACTCTGAAGGATAGGATTTACATTTGGAGAGGCAATGATTGATTAGGGATAGTCAGCATGGTTTTGTGCGAGGAAAATTGTTTCTCAGAAACTTGATTGATTTTTTAAATGAAGTAACCAAAAAGGTTGAAGGCATAGTGGTAGACATTGTTTACTTGGACTTTAGTAAAGCTTTTGACAAGGTTCTTCATGGTTCACAAATTAGTAAAGTTAAATCACATGGGATTCAGATTGAGCTTGCCAACTGGATACAAAATGGCTTTATGGTAGGAGACAGAGAGTGGTGGTGGAGGGTAGGTTTTCAGACTGGAGGCCTATGACAGTGATGCTCCACAGGAGGCGATAATGGGTCCACTTTTGTTTGTCGTTTATATAAATAATTTGGATGACAATATAGGAAGCCTAGTTAGTAAGTTCGCAGATGGCACCAAAATTGGTGGTATGGAGGAAAGAGAAGGTTATCCAACATTACAAAGAGACCTTGATCAATTGGGTCAATGGGCTGAGGAGTGGCAGATGGAGTTTAAATTTGGATAAATGTGAGCTATTGCCTTTTGGTAAAACAAACAAGGACTTATTACAATTAATGGTAGGGCCCTGGGAGGTGTCATAGAACAGACAGACCTAGGGGTTGTACATAATTCATTGAAATTTGTATCACAGGTAGACAGGGTGATTAAGAAGGCATTTAAGCACGCTTGCCTTCATTGCTCAGACCTTTGAGTTTAGGAGTTGGGGTGTCATGTTGAATTTGTACAGGACATTGGTGAGGCCTCTTCTGGAGTACAGTGTCCAGTCTGGTCGCCCTGTTATAGGAAGGATATTATTAAACTGGAGAGAGTTCAGAAAAGATTTACCAAGATGTTGCCAGGAATGGTGGGGTAGAGTTTGAGATTTAAAACTAGACTGGACAGGCTGGGACTTTTTTCACTGAAGCGTAGGAAGTTAAGGGGTGACCTTATAGAGGCTTATAAAATCATGAGGGGCAGAGATAAGGTGAATGATTAGGGTCTTTTCCCGAGGGTGGGGGAGTTCAAAACTAGGGGCATGTTTTTAAGGTGAGAGGAGAAAGATTTAAGAAGGACATGAAAGGCAACTATTTTACACAGAGGATGGTTCGTGTGTGGAATGACCTGCCAGAGGAAGTGGTGGATGCAGGTACAGTTACAACATTTAAAAGATATTTGAATAAGTACATGAGTAGGAAAGATTTGGACGGATATGGGCCAAATACAGACAAGTGGGACTAATTTAGTTTGGGAACATGGTCGGTGTGGATTAGTTGGACCGTGTCTTTTCATGCTGTATGACACTATGCCCTTTTATAATGGCTAAAACCTTTAGCCATGTTTGGCCTTCATCTTTGGAATTATTACCAATTAACTGTTTAATCATTTTTCCTGTGAGGTGTCACAAGTCACAGCTGAAGCAATGGTGATGCAGTGAGCAATGTTGCTAATTCCTAGGGGCTTTTGTGGTACAGTGTTAGCGTCCTTACCCATGGACCAGGAGACCCAGGTTCAAGTCCGACTTCTGTCAGACATGTGTAATGGCATCTCTGAACACGTTAATTTGAAAATATCTGTTTTCAACTCATTGACACCAGAGAATTGAGTGCTATTCCTGGATAGCTATGCCGCCCCCAACTCACCCTCGCAAATCATACCTGTAGTTGGCCCACCCCCCACCCTCACAAACCGTACCTGGTGATTTTGAAGATTCTCAGGAGTCGGATACACCGGAGGACAGAAATTCCAAGTGGAGACATCATCTTCACCTCCACCAAAATCGTTTCCAGGATCCCACCACACACCACAAAGCAGTCAAACCGATTAAACAGTGAGACAAAGTAAGCCTGCAAGCCAAGACTGTACATCTTCAGCATCATCTCCACCGTGAACAGGGCTAAGAGCACCTTGTTGGCAGTGTCTATAAAGCAAGGCAGAAATAGAGACAGAGTGAGCATGAGGGATAGAAACACAGACAGATGGAGGGAATGACTGTAACAGGGAATGGGGGGAGAGACAGATTGCTGAAAGAGAATAGGAGTCATTGTATAGAAGGGGTTGCTATTTTTGTTCCTGATGGTCTCAGGCTCAGTTCCTACCCTGGACGTTGGTCAGCCAGTCAGGCTGATGGTGATGCTCCGATGCTATCATCAAAGTGTTGAGGAAAACCAGGAATATCACCAGCCAGTAGAAGAAGTCGGATTTGACCAATGCTCTGCACTTCCGCCTGAACAGCCGGTTCCATCTCTGACATCGCCAACTGCGGGAAAATTCCATTAGGAGGTGAATCCCGAGCCTAGTTTTATTCCCAGAATTAAACACACTCCAACCACCAATCCTAGCCCTGTGGGCCAAGGAGCTGGGATCCACTGAGCTACGCTGGGCCCCACCCCCTCCTTTGTGAAATTCTGCTATGTATCTTGTAGATGGGACACACTGTTGTTACTGTGTGTCGGTGGTGGAGGGAGTGGATATTTATGAATGTGGTGCCCATCAAGTGGGCTGCTTTGTCCTTCATGGTGTCAAGCTTCCTGAGTGTTACTGGAGCTGCACTTACCCAGGAAAGTGGGAGAGAATTCTCTCTCTGACATGTGCGTTGGAGATGGTGGACAGGTTTTGGGAAGTCAGGAGGTGAGTTACTTAGTACAGGATTCCTAGACTCTGACCTGTCCTCATAGGCACTGCATTTATATGGCGCGTGGGCACAGTTTCTGTTCATTGATAACCCCCAGGGTGTTGAAAGTGGGTGATTCAGTGTTGGTAACACCATTGAATGTCAAAAGGCAACAGTTAGATTCTCTGTTAATGGAGATGGTCATTGCCTGGCACTTGTGTAGTGTGAATGTTACTTGCCACTTGTCAAGCCAAACCTGGATATTGTCTAAGTCTAGCTGCATGTAGCTGACTTAATTAGAATGAATTATTATAACAATATGGAATTAATTGCTTAATTAATTAATTAATTACAAAACAATGAGGTGCGTTGATAAAGTGTACAAGGAAGACCTGTCGCTCTTAGTGGAAAGGTCAAGTAACTGGAGCACAGAGGAGCTGAGTGGTCTTGGGGGAACCCAAACTGTTAATGCTGGCTCC